CCCATAAATCCCTCCAAACAAAGAATGTAATCCTTCGCACACACAAATCTCGAGCATGAGAGAGGGTGCATCAATGTTACCAAATTGGGCCACATATACAGGTACTTACCAGTCGATCAAAGCAGCAGTCAAAGACGACTCGACTCTCGAACACAGCTCAAATCCCACTCTGTGACGTAACTCCTACGTTTTGGAGGTACAGTTCGTTCATTGTCCATTACTCTCTCCACAAAAAAAAAATCAACAACAAACAAATAGAACAAAAAACAGATTAAAACATCTCAGACTGATTCCCTGAACTCCCGGAAAACTTGGCTTATCCACTTCGTTGTCTTAAACAAATCATTTTTGTTCAACAAGTATTATTTCGTCATGAATAATATATATATCGAAACACTCCTCAAAGCATTGCTTTTGTGGCTGTTTGTTTTGTTTTGTTATGCTGTTTTTTCGAAAAAGAAAAGACCAAATGAAGAGTCTGAAGCAGCGAGCCGATGCAGCAACACCACCAACAACAGCTACAAAACCTCTAGATCTAGATCTATCTAGACCTACAACACGAACGTAATGTCAGCAGCTGCAACGGCAGCAACAATAACAAGATCTCGAGCTTGTCTCACACTCACACACGCGCACGTGCGAACTCCAGGATTGAAATGTGGCAAAATGTTGCCGAGTGAATCACACGAGCTCACAAGTCAGAGAACGACCACACATCGCTTGCGGCTTCTATAAGCTACACTCGTAGGCATAGAACAGCACAAACCAACAGTCTACGGGATTTCCCCATTTTTCACAGCTCGGCGCGCACCCTCAACCCGCAACAGCATCATAGGAGAACTGTGAGAAGAAAAGATAGAAAGAGTGAGTGAGACATCCGCTGTATGAAGGTAGAGCTATCACTCCCACCCCCTCCCTACCCCTAACACACACAATAACTAGGCGCTCACTCAGAGATAAACAAGGAACGAAACACAGCAGGCTTGTTGTAGAATTACTCACATTTACACCGAACAACGAAGAGGAAAAGGAACTAAAGCAAAATTCCTGGGAACATTCCTTTTACATTACAATTGACATAAAAAAGAAACTATTGTTCTTTTGTTTTAAACTAGATCTAGAATCTTAGTATTGCAAACCGGTTTTTAGATAAAACACTGAATGCCAGACTACCCGAATCATATAATTGATTTGCGAGCTGTAGACCTAACAGTAGAGATACAAAGGAAGAAATAGAGAAAGGAAGTTTGGCTCCTCTTTCCGTGAAAACAAAGACCATGAGTAGAACATGATTTTTATAGCTAACTGTTTTGTCTGAGAACCGACAACAACATGAAGGAAACCCTAACTTGTTGTAAGCCTGGAGCCTTCCTTCACATGCTCGCTCCCCTCACCCCGTGTGTGTGTGTCTCCGAGAGAAAGCTGCATGCTCACGCGACCCCTTGTCTCGCTCACTCGCTCACACCGGCTCTAACACACAACCCGATCACCCCCCACTTGCGAGTACCCACTCCCGCCCAGACAGCATTCTCTCGAGGTAAACGGGCGAGTCCATTTTAGCCGCACGGGGGTGATAGTGACGGGGGCGTGTGCGTTTATCGACCGGCGAGTTTCGCACACAAAGAACCCGGCTACCGATTTCTCATAATTCAGAAGCTGGCGGCTTCACCAAGCACTGGGGGGAGTTGAGACGCGAAGGAAGGGTGGTGGGTGGAAAAGGGA